GGTTTTTTTTTTACATTAGAAAGCAACTTTCCTAATGATAAAGGATCTTAAGAAGACTTCATGCTCATATCTGTGCTTAGGGGTAAATTTTCAAGAAACTTATAAATAAGAGTTTCTGGAACAAAAAACACTCAGGAGGAGGATCCATATTTCTCTCTCTTAATCTGTCCAGTTTCACAGTAGCCTTCTGCTTTTCAAACATTAGAATTGGTATGATTCTACTCTTTTTGGGGAACATACATGGTTGCCATTCAGTTTGTGCATATCCAGTTATGACAATCCCAGGCCAATTTTCATGTAAAGCATGGAGTGCATTCACGCTAATGGCTTTTGAACTAGTTTCCTTTTTTGTGATTTGCCTAGTAGGAAGCTAAACTTGGTTCTTAAGTGTATTAGAGAAATTGCTTGTATTTCTTACAAGAAAAAACAAATTTTTCCCTGCTCCAAGTACTAATTTTTCTTTTGTGTTTTTTTTACTTCTCTTGTAAGTATTTATCAATGTACTGTGGATGTTTTTATGCTATAATCTAGATTAACTTAATAACAGAAATTTTACGCATATCTTCTTTACACTTCTTTAGGCTTCTTAAGTTCGCTTTCATTAATGTTTTGAAATGCCCTTATGCTATTTTTTTAAAAGAAACTCTGACATTAACAAGCATAAACTGCTGACTATGTCCCGTTAAGAGAACTCAACTCAATCAGAAGGCTTCATGTTTGTTTTGCAGCCCATACCTGCTATATTTGCTGATATTTTTGCCTTAATTTTTCTCAGCCGTGCAATTATAATAAAAACCCCCAGGCACTGAATTACAGCTTACTCCTGTTCCAAAGGGTAATGTCTTATATTTTGTCATGATATAATCCTTGGGGGGGGGGGGGGGGGATTTTTTTTTTGCTTTAAAAAAGGGAAAATTAAGATATACTATGTCTTGAAAAATAGGGCTTGAAAGATAAGGATAATGAAGAGCTTGATATTCAGCTGAAAGTGTTTGATGAGAACAAAGAGGAAGATTTAATTGAACTGTCACATCGTCTCAATGATATCAGAGCTGAAATGGAATATCCTTTATAGAAATGGTGTTATAACTTGTTGCATCGTTTAATAACTTTATTAAACGTAAGTTAGAATGCTCTACGTGCAGTTTATTTGTCACAGTTGTGTATCTTACCAGCGACTTTCTCAGGCAGATGTCTTTCCACTTGTTTTTTGTTAAAGACTTATTTAGAAAATTACTACTTGACTTACATTTGACATGCAAATTTATTGGGAACTGAATTAATTTTTTATAAATAACATTTACTAAGCTAAACTCTGGCTTGTAATACATGAAGATATAAAATTATACCCATGGAAGATTATAAGTTTGAATAAAAATGAGTTTTGATAACTAAGTTGGAACAAAATTTGTAGTAGGTTCTGAAGCACTTGAGATGCATGCCTTCTAGTTTTCAAGAAGCAGTAAATTTAAAGTTACCTAAGTTCAGAATGGTTGCTTGCAGTTTTTAAAAGAGTAGTACCTGGTACTTAAGCATAGGAAGGTAGATGCAATCAATGAGAGGAATACAATACCACTAACAACTAATGTTGTTACATTACAGGACAGGTAATTACAGGTAACTTTATTCTTTAAGAAATTAAAATGATTGGCTAGTGAGTATTTGCCAATAGCCTGGCTCACTTCAGCATGAAAATGAAATCTTCATGTGAAATATGTTTACAGGATTCTATGATAATAAGTATGTAGTATGATTTTTCTGAGTATTAATGAAACGTCTTAATTGTTAAACGGGACAGATTTTCGGTGGATAATCCTAGTGGAAAAAGGATGTTTACTGGTAAGGATAGTAGTTCAGAGTGTTGAAAGGTTTTACTTGAACAATATGAACAACATCTAGGGAACGGGGTTTGGGGTGGGGTGGGTGTTTTGTTGTGTAGTGGGGTTTTTTGTTTGTTTTTTAATTTTTGGTTTTTAAGTCCTTGTATTTCCTTAACAATGTTTGCACTGATGTGAATGAAGTATTTCATCTGCTGTACAATATGTTGAAAGATACTTCTTCTGAAAATTACTTCTTGTCAATTCTCCAACATTTCCTTCTCATCAGGAGTGATTACTATGTCCGGTAAGTGTCAGCTGTCAGGTTTGATTTTTGGAGGGGGTAGGGGGAAGAATAGAAATCAAGACCATGGTAAACTGAATAGCTCATAATCACGCATGAATAGTTGCTCTGTAACTGATGTGTTATTTGTCTTTCTGCTCAATGTTACTATTGAAAAGATCTTGTTAAATATAATAATGCTTATTTCAAAGACTTGAACCTTATTCTAACACCCTCATCTGAAAGTCTCTTAACTTGTTGAGCACTTTTTCCTTTATTCAAGTTCAAGAGCTTCATGACTTCAAAGAACTTGAAAGTTAGTTGTATAACTAATAATTGAAAATACTTCCACAGTGCCTTGTATCTTCTTTGCAATGTAAGCTTCTCTTAGGTGCACCTCATAGTGTCTTAGCAGTGTCAAAGTACCACATACAAAATCTTGTTTTAAGAAGCAATTTTTTTGTTGTAAAGGGATGATAAAAACAGTTGATATGCAAGATGATAAAATTGAGAAGTAAAATATAACCTGAGAAATCTTCAATTTTCATATATTGTTTTTTTTAATTTGGAAGTTTTAAAAATCATCAGTTTAGATTTGAGGGTTTCCTATTTTGAGAGCTCAATGGTATGTGAAATTGGCATGTAATACCTTGCACTGGTAGGAACTAATAATTTTGAGCACAGAATCCCCTACTACTAGAGGTTCCTTATGTTGTTGTGTAGATATGTATATCAAACAATTAAGTTAATTATTAACTCATTTTCTAAGTAATTGGATACTGGTACTGTTGCCAGTGATGGAATTCACTGTGTTGAGAAGGTGCTAAATAATTCTTGCAGCGTATATTGAAAATACTAAAGATGGTGTTTGTTCTATTGAATATTGTCTGGCAAAGGATAAATGAAAAGTGCACAATGTTTTGCAGAGTCCTGAACTTCAGGTATCCTTCTGAGAAGCTGACAACAGTGCTTCATTAGCCAGAGTACAAATAAGACTTTTAACTTCATCCTTTTACTGGCAATTGTATAATTCATATATTAGGAGTTAAAGTTGCCCCCTTTTTCCCTCTCCATGTTGCATAAATGATTGTTCGCGTTCTTATTATCTTGTAAAATGTTTTCTTTGTTAGACCTCAGTATTACAAGATAATAGAAGAGTGCGTATCACAGATAGTATTGCACTGCAGCGGCATGGATCCAGATTTTAAATGTAGAGGAAGAATGGATGTGGATTTTACTCATCTTATTGGTTTGTATACTATAAGCAATTTTACCTTGTTTTACTGAAGTACATGTTTTCCTTTGTATGCTTCTGTCTAAACTTAAATTGACTGTGTGAATTTTTTCAGTTTTCTGGAAATATGCTTGTAAGCTACAGGTGTACTTGTGGAGAAGGCCACATCAAGCTCTGCAGCCTTTAATAAAATGATACCGATGAAGTTTGCTTCTGCAAATTTGTCTTGACTTATATCTGAATACAATAGTCTTAATAACCAAAAATTGCTTGTTCATAAATTCTGTGAATTTCAGGTCTGTTACAAATATCAAAATTTACATTAGCGTTAAGAGTTAGTGGATTTATAATTGTTACATAGTTCATTCTAAGAATATTTTCTGTAATACTTTCCAAGTATTTGAGGTTAGTTTAAGGTAAACTAGTCAGTTAAAGCATTGAGGGACTGTGGATGTTCATAACGTGGGAAAGAAGCAGCTGAATAAATACTCTGTCATTGAAATGGCAGTTATCAGCATTTAGGAAGTGTTGTTTTACGCTTTTCTTAAGATTGGTGGGGTAGATTGTATTCTTGAAATACAAGGGCATCTCTGGAGTAAATATTTCATAGGGTGGAGTAATTGTTCTTGGAGAACACATTCATTTGGGAAAATGTTTTTTTGGTGATGTGACAAAAGGAGCAAAGAAAGGATGTTGTACAGGTTGAATTTGGGGACAGGGGAAATTGTTTTCTAAAAGATACCGTGCATATCTAAGAAAAATATCTGCATTTTCTATTCACTTACAACTCTAGGAAGGTGATCACTTGATCTTGCATTAAGATCTTGGCTTACCTTGCCTTCTGTTCCCACTGACCTGCTAGTTTTAGGGATAACTGGTTTGTCTCTCCATGCCAATTCCTACCTATAATATATAGTTACTTGTGTTTACCTTACTTCTAAAATGTTTCAAGTTTTATACTGTATGAAAAGTCAATAGACGTGCTTTGTACCACTGTTGAGTGAAGAAATCTGCGCTTCACAGTCTGTCCAAATTCTCCTTGCCTACGAAATAATTTTTCTGAAATAAGGAAATGCTTGATTTTTGGATTCCTAATCTGGAAAGAAGGCTTTCTGATTTGAGACCTCGGAAGTAACTATTATTTCATACTAATGTGAAAATCCTTTTTTCTTATTTAGTTGTAGATTCATATAAAAGAGAAGGGCATGTAAACTCAGATCTGTCAGAGACAGAACAACTGTGATGATTCATCTTCAACTTTCTTGGTCATGTGTCCTCACCACTTTTTTTATATTTAGAGATTTTGCTCATCAAAATAATTCATCAAATGTTTGGTCAGTTCAACCTAGTAATTCATTGTGGTTTTTTGTCTGTTGCTTTGTGTCATGGGGTCACAGGGTAATTACAGTTGGAAGTCATCTCAGAGCTGTGATATATTTTACCTGACTTCTGTGTGGTATTTTATTTAAACTCTAGATGCATGTGTGGACAAGGCTAAAGTAGAAGAGAGTGAAAAGAAAGCAGCAGAATTTTCCAGAAAGGTAAGTCCTAATCATAACTCTTTTTTAAGATGTGGAACAGAAGCCTGACAGGAACACAGTAGGCTTGTTTCACAGTAGAAACTAGTGGAAACGGGGAAATAGTGTATCTCACAGGCAGGATATTCTTCCACATTTAATAGCTCTGTGGGTTTGGGGTTTTTCTCTGTGTGTGTGTGTGTGTGTGTGTGTGTGCAAGCAGAGGTTTCAGCTTACTCTGAATTCAAAAGCAGATGAGTAGTATTAGCTGTACGTATCTTCAGTTGTATTCCTCTGCTGTAGATAACTGATGGGAAAAATACTACTTGTTGCTATTTTGTCCTGAAATATTTAGACATAGTTAAATACCTAAAGTGCAGGTATATGCTTTTAAAAAAAAAAAAAAATAAATTGAGGGAAAAATGTTTATAACTCTTCATCTAGCTTTGTTTTAGAACCTGAAGAAACTTACTGAAAAGCAGTGTCATTCAGTGTTTGAAAAAGCATCGACTCTTTAGGCACAGAGATGCTAACATTAAAATACTGCTTTATTTCCTTATAATGCCCGTGATAAATTATTATGTTATGAGGAAGATTAATTTATTTCCTTATTATTCACGTTTAGGAACCTTACAGTGCATTTTGGAACTTGTTTTGCCAACAGTTTTATTCTTCTGGTCCAGTTCTTTTATTAGGAACTTGATAACAAAGGCCTATTTCGGTCATGGGCAGTTTTCACTTATTACTAGATACAGCAGAGGTTAGACATTTAAAATTATTTCTGTAGGAAAAATTGCAGCTCAGTATATTTCTTGTAATAAAATTTTGGGGGGGTATTTCTAAAGAAATTGACACTTATCCTTCTGCTTTATCACTATTTGTGTTTGTCCTGAAAATATCTTGATATGACACGTTTTTTCCAGTTACTTAAATTCCTGTTTCCTAGATTATGTTAATGGATAATTTGTTAATCTCAGCTCATCACATCCTATCTAAGGTTATGAAATGCTGAATGTACTATATTAGCTGCAATAGTACTAAAATTCATATACCATGTTGTTGTGTATTAAAAGCACTAAATTTTTTTATTTTTGCTGGCCTGGTCTAAGAAGCCTTTTGCAGGCCAAAAGGCAGTACATGTTCTTGATCATGATGATTACAAATTTCAAATGAAGGGTTGAATTAGTCATCAGCTTTTCTCTCTTCAGTGTTAAATGTGTTTTTAATAGGAGTTATGGTGTCTGAGCTTTATAGAAAGAAAATTGTTGTGAGGCTTCCCTGGCAGAGTTATTTATCATAATGTACTTTGTTAGTGGCAGTCAACACATATTCTTCCTAGTGATAAGTTGTTTTCTCCTGTGGAAGAATGAATAACAGAAGCTTATAAAGATGCTAATAATCTCTTAAGACCAGCAAACAGTAGCAAGATAAAAATATACAGCAAATTTCTCACAAGCATGTTGTAAACTGGACTTCCATTTTATATGGGGACATCAAGACTAAAGGGATCGCTAACTTATTTGGATACCTCCTTTCTTATGTTACGTTATGGATGATATTGCTGAAGTTGCACACGTTTCTCTTCAGATTTACATCTCATGCAGTGAGCTTATGCTTGAGCATAGTTTGAGAAGTCTGCAATGTTCTGTTGGGGAGAAAAAGCCTGTTGAACTTACAGCTGTAGTAAGTTGCTGGGTCTGAGCGGTTCTGTGTCATGACTTATTGATGGAAGAAATTATGTGGTACTAGAAGAACACATACTGGAAAAAAACTTTTTTTTTTTAGAGTTAAAAATGCATCTATTGCTCTAGTTGTGATATTGTTCAAAGAATTCCTGAAAGTATACTATCTAGTGTGGACATAAATGGACAAACATTTCTGTGTTGGTTAATCATTACAGTTTGATGAAGAGTTCACAGCTCGACAAGAGGCACAAGCGGAGCTTCAGAAACGAGAAGAGAAAATCAAAGAACTTGAAACAGAAATCAAACAGCTACGAACCCAGGTAATAAAACTAAGTCACAGTAAGTTCCACAGTTGTTTGTTTGTTTGGGTTTTTTTAAGAATTGAAAAGAAATTGCCCAGGAGTGTGTTGTCTCTATGGAGTTTGAAATGTATGTTATAGTTGTATTGATTTGTTTTTAAGCCAGCATAAACTACTAAGGGTAGTTAATGGAGGTGGCATTTTTTCAAATAGTAGTATATTCAACATCTGTCACAGATATTTGTTTATGGAGGAAAAAATTTTCTTAGGCTTTGAAAAGTTTGAATCCAGCCTGATTTTTTTTTTTTTCTCCAAGAACTTGTTTATGCTTTAACATTACTACTTCTGTTTGTTTTGCAGAAAGCGTTTGTTTCGGAAGGCTTTATACTTGAATTGCAAAGGTGGAAATAAAGATAGCTGTGTGTGCACAATATACATACCTTTCAGCATGTGCATGCAAGCACAATATACATACCTTTCAGCATGTGCATGCAACTGATAATTTTTTTCTGAACTCTGGATATCAGACTGTAGCCATTTCTAAAATGAGTATTACACTAGCTTTATACAGTCTCATAGGTAAATATAACAAAAATGCAAGACCTTATGGAAGTGGAAGGTGATACTTAATTTCAGCAAAGCTGATTTTACTTACATTCATTTCCTCATGAATTTTGCTCACAAGCACCAAAACTGTACCTCCAAGTGATCTGTCCCGGATCACTAGTGAAGCGGAGAGGACAAGAAATGCTGCCTGTTGAGCCCTCACAATATCTCTTGGGTTTCTTTTGTTTAATGACCATGAATTGGGGTTTAGACAGGTCTTTTATACCATTTAGGAACCAACAGATACTATGGTTTGATCTTTTTGCCTCAGCCTGGCTTATTTCCTATTCCTTCAATGCTAGGCAAGGTCTGCCTGTTGCCTTTTTTTCCTCATTGTGGATATCTTAATGCCTATGGTCTCACTTCCTATCTGGATAATAATAAGAATAGCATGCGATGTGTTATAACCTGGTTGCCATCATCCTGCTTTCAGGATGCTGGTCTTCTGCTGGCAAGTTGTCTGTGCTACAGCCTTATCAGAGCACTGGCCTTCTCATCTTATTGTAAGCACATGATATTGCATTTAACAGTCGGTTTGCTGTTCATTGCGTCCTTTGCTCTCAATACAAGTCATTCTTGTAACCTGTGGTGTCTTACGGTTTCTTATTCTGTTTTCACACACAGACACTTCTGTTCATATTTCATTCTTACCAATTTTAATGTTTGTTTCAAATATCTGAGACAATGTTACACTGAAATTTGACAGTCTGTTTTAATGAGTTCTCCACCAATTGTTGCATTACAACTTGTGTAGTAGTTCGTGGGCCAAGGAAACACACGCCTTTTGCAAAGCAAAAATTTACTTTTAGTCTAATTAATTATTAATCCTGTTATATTTGATACTAACAGAATTCAGACTATCCAAATATTACAGCTCATTCACCATTCATAATGGTACAATTAGAAGTGATACACATTAACTTTCTAGTATCTGTGCCTTTTTTCTCTAGTGTTATGGTCCCCATACAATATATTGTGGCATTTATTTTTAGATGCACTCAGATTTTTCTCAGCTTTTTTTTTTAACAAACTCTTGCTTCCTTTAAACTAGAAACAGTAAATACTTGCGTAGGGAAACAGTATGCAAATCAGGTTAAATGAACAGCCTATATTACATAATAATTTTGTCATAAAAATTAGTAGAGGAAATAGAATATGAGCTTGAGGTTTGTGCATAGCTCCTGATGCTGCTCTTTAACAGATAGTTTTGAAGGACAAATATTTGTGAGGAATTCATACTAGGCTAGGATCATGTTATCACTACAGAAACCTCTCTGATGGTTTAATACGCTGCTGTTTCTCTTCAGTGTTCCTTTTAAAACTTATTGGAATGGATATTGCAACTGCTCTTTCTTCCTATCACCACAGAAACAACTGCAGACAGATTTTTAAAAGAAAGCACGATTATTTTTTTTATCTGCCCCCCCCTCCCCCTGCAAGATGTCAGGATAGTTATGAACAACTGTTATCCCATAACCTCTTGCACTGCAATAGCTGCTTCAGTGATGTCTGTAGAAATTTTTCCACCAGCAGATTAGTGTTGTTAAAATTCAGCTTGGTTATTACCATCTCTGATGCCCTAGCTTGCCAGGATATCCTAAGTGGGATAAATGTTTTGTGCATTGGTAAGAAATAAAATGCTGTTCTGTTCACTTAAATGTTACTGCTACTATTAAATTTTCTTTAAAATGGAAACAATTTGTTTTTATAAAAATGCTAGGTTATTCGGTTTACTTGGCAGTTTTATGGTACATGGTATAATCTATTGTTATTGCTTCTCATTTAAATAGGAGAATGGTTGCATTTCTCACTTTCTTGAGGTACAGTTGACTACAAGACATGCTAGTTGTTTCAACTTCATGTCAAACCTCCTTCCCTCCCCGATGAAAGGAATTCCTCTTTTATATTTCAGGGTCCAGGCCTGACAGGTAAACTGACAGATGCAGCACCATTACCTCCACCCCTACCAAGTGAGAATGTGCCACCACCTCCAGCACCTCCACTACCTAGTGGAGCAATACCTCCTCCTCCTCCACCGCCTCCGCTACCTGGTGGAGCAGCAGCTCCTCCTCCACCGCCTCCACTGCCTGGTGGAGCAATACCACCTCCTCCTCCGCCCCCACCTCCGCTACCTGGTGGAGCAATACCTCCGCCTCCTCCGTTGCCTGGTGGAGCAGCACCACCTCCTCCTCCTCCACCTCCTCCGCTACCTGGTGGAGCAGCACCTCCTCCACCTCCTCCGCTACCTGGTGGAGCAGCACCTCCTCCACCTCCTCCGCTACCTGGTGGAGCAGCACCTCCTCCACCACCACCGCCTTTTGGTGGGCCTCCAATGCCACCAGCTCTTGGAGGTGTTCCTTTTGCTCCCTTTCCGGTGATACCAGCGTTACCACATGGGATGAAGGAGAAGAAAAAGTATAAGCTGGAAGTCACGATGAAAAGAATCAACTGGTCAAAGGTATTACTATGTTTGTTTTTATTTCCATTGATAAAAAGTGGCTTTTGAGGAAGAAGGAGGTAATGTGCTAGGGTTTACATTAGATTGTTAATAGTACTCATGAAGTTTGGGGAATTAATTCCATTCTTTATCCAAAACATTTTTGATGCAGTGATTGTGATTCAGTTAATATTGGTTTTTAAAGACACCTTATGCTATGGGGTAAGCTCCAAGTGTTTAATGCTGCCAAGAGCCCATAACACCCCTTATTCTGGGGATACCTGTAGCTAACAGCTCTCAGAATTTTGGCTGATTTTGTGTAGAGTTAAGTTCTACATGTTTTCAACTGTAATTGATATTTGACTTGCCAAGTAAACACTTCAAAGGTAAAATGTCTTGTTTAAAGCAGGTTTAAGTTCTCAAACAATTAAAATGTTTACTTTATAAATCGTGTTACTACTTTTTTTCAGCAAAATACTGAGTTAGTTAAAGGATTGCTGGGTTTTAGGACAGGGGAAATGAACCTTGAAGTAGACAATTGGGTGGAAAACTGTTGGGAAGACTGCTGTTTAGGAACTTTGACAATCTGGCAGTTGACAGAAAGAAGGATCTAGAGTCAAGGGATAACTACAGCTGTTTGCATAATTGAAGTAGCTGTGGCTGAGTAATGAGAAAGGTTGTTGAGAAAGGAGATGTATTTAAGAGGTTTTACTTGAGTCTCTAGGTATAAAATGGAGTAAAACGTGGTGTGAATGGGTACGTGGAATTTGGAAGACAGCACAAAGCAGAAGTCTAACTTTAGTTTTGTGTTCTCTGGGTTAAGCAAGCTGTGGGAGCCATAAATTATGTGGTTTATGATTAATTTTTTTCCTTGCTTTTTTGAAGACAGGTTGAAAGTGGATCAGGCTTTCAGAGACTCTAATTTTAGCTTTGTATCTTCTCAACAGAACAGTGCATGATTGCTTTGGTTATGCCTTCTATGAATTTCTTTTAAAAATGAAGTATGAGTGAAACCGCTATGGTGGCAATTCATTGGGTTATCTAGTTTCATTTTAAAAGCCTTGCATGAAACTTAAAACACTTGACTAGCTTAAAAAGAGAAGGGTGGGAAGGCATTGGCGAAATAATTTTTTCTAATTAAAAGAAATAACTTTATACTTACCATGATACTAAATATACATTCTTAAGCTACTAAGATTTTCTGCTTAAAGGCAGATGTCTTGACATGAGGTTAAGAATTATTTTAAGATCAGACCTCTGAATAAATACAGTAATTTACTATAAATTAAAGCATCTAACTAAGAAAAGAAGCCAATTATTTTGTGTTCACATTTCTTTTGTTGTTGTGATATGTTCTGGAATTTTGAAAGGAAATTTGACTTTCATTGCCTTACCTGCCCGTAAATGATAGTTGTACTACAAAACACACTCCAACAGTGTTTTTCTTTCTCTGAGAAAGGCAGGTGTTTACCCTGTTAAGACAGTTGCAAAACTTACCAGAAGGTTCTAAAGGCAATGGTGTTATTAAACGTAAATTTTTATTGTAAGCATTGAAGAAACTTTTACTAGAGGGAATTTTTAGCTATCTAGTTTTGTGTAAAATTATTACTGCATTTGATTTAGCAGTATGTGGTTTAATACTTAACTTGAGTTAGTCATGGCTCTACTAGAGTTGTGAAGCTGATGTTCCTCCCTTCTCCTTTACTTTACAAATATAGTTGATACTGTATACACTAATGAATTTTTAAATGAGATTCTTGTTGACAGAACTTTGTTTGATGTTTGACAGATGAGTATCCCAGGAAGCTAACTTAGTTCCGATACAAAATTCTTTTTTAAAAGTCTGGGTTGCACATTGCTGAGCGAGAGATTTTTTTCCATGAGAGCTTTCAGAGAATGTGTGCTAAGCTCAGTGGATTCATGTAATGGCAGCAGGAGATGTCAGTAGGTAACTGCTGTGTTTTCTTTCTCTTTTGGCCCTGTCATGAGGGCTGGTCTGAGAGGTCATCTGTGACTCCTCTGAGGTACGTGGAGTATGATCGGTGGGTGAATGCTCACTGAATTTCACAGTTCTGCAGACAGTTGCTTGTATTGTTGGTCTGTATCAAAGCAGAGTGAAAAACTGTGATGACCCAAATGAAAAGACGGGGCACCATTCTATTAGGTGCAATGAACATGAATTGTGGCTTTGCATTAAGTTGCATACATGTATCCAAACCATTAGGAATAGTTTTAAAGCCATTTTCAAACATAGATAACGGCATGCTATTTCATATAGAAACCTTCTAAGTTCATGATGTCTAATGTAGTTGTAAGGTCAGAGAATGCTGGTATCTGTGCTATAATGGTACTTGTAGGTTATTAATCTGAGATGTTTATTGGTTGTTTCAAATTAGTAATGTGCTAGGGCAGGCTTATGGCCACTGGGAGGAGCTATGGGACTGCTCAAGTGAAATGTTTGGGCACCATTAACTTCCAATGAATGTGAGCTTCTGCACAGTCTTAACATGGTTATATTTAATCAAATGTAACTTGAAAAAAAACCTTAAAATATAACTATTTACTTCAGCAGTAAACTGCAAGCACAATCTCCGATTTGCAAACTAACCTGTAAGAGCAGTTACTAGTTATTACTTGCCTCTCAGTATAATTGGTCACTTTGTGAAAAGAGAAGTTATGCAAGTATCCAGGTGTGTGTTTGCGTACGTGTTGCTTTAAAATCCCTTTTTGATCAGTATAGCCACTGTTCCTTCCATATAAAGGAAAGAAATTTAGGGTGCTAGATAATTGCGTCTATCATCAAGACTAAACCATCACGTCTTAAAGGCAGTTTGTGGTTGGCAGAGTTTTAGTGGTACAAAACGTGATAGATGTATTGAGGTTTGCTGTAGGAAAAAATACATAGATCACCAAATCAGCAAGGCAAATCAAAGGAGGACCTTTATATATTGCATACTATGTGTTTTGAGCTCTGTCTTGGACTTCAGTGTAGTTTGACTGGATATCTGCTACTTATTTGTCAAGGTACTAAATCTTTGTACTACCAGCTAGTGTCTGACACTTTCCTTGAAAACCATATTCTATCTGAATAGTGTGTTGCTACCGAGAACTTAGTAAAATCAAATTGTTGATGAAAGTAAGCTGTTAAGTGGCTACAGATGGTCATTGCTGACCATAAGTTGCAATTTAACATTGAACAACTGTTGAACATGTAATTTAAATCGCATTTTTTTTTCAGGATGTTTTACAGCTGGTAAAACTGTTGGGAAATTCATATGGATGTAGATATACATCTTTCTATAAAGTTGGGTGTTACCGTGTTGTCCTGGATGGAGCTGGATGACATGGGATGCAGATGTTGCTCCTGGCTAAAGATGCTACAACTTTTCAATATGAAACCTCTGAAATGAATCACATCATTGTGTATGATATTGTGATGATTCATCAGTTCAGCAATAACAGTCCCTTGTAGACTGTTTTCACAATATTGCTAGGACGCAGGATCATACGTCCATCAAGTTCTTACGTAGCTGATCTACCCTGTCAGACACAATGAAATTTCAGTTTTAAGAGTGTATGTAAAGGTCTTAGGGCAACAGCACTGGACGGTGTTTGGAAATCATTCTAGTTTTTCCCATGGGGTTTTTCAGGTGATTCAAGGTGAGTTGCTTTGTATTGTTTCTGAATATATACCATCACCACTTCAAGCAAAACCTTTCAAGAACTAGTAATGACAGAAGTTAATTTTAAGAGGAGGAACTAGACTGTCCTCTGATATTTTTGAATAAGCAATCTTAATTGTCTTTCTCAATAAAAAGTAAGCTTAGGTTTTGTGTTCCTCTAAATTCTGAAGTGTTGAATAGTGAATTGGCTCGCTCTTTGGAGTAACAAGAGCAGTATCATGAATGATTAATCCCACTAATTTTAGAAGGAGGAATCTAGAATGTTGAGATAAAACCTGTGTGGAAAAGCATGGCATGTCAATTTATAGTTTCTTTTACCAGAAGAATTAATGTTTATAAGCTATCTATAGTATTTTGCCACTAGATTTCAAAATATTTGGAGATGTGCCAAAATAATCTGAAAGCGTATCTAGCAGTAGTGTTTTAAAAACAGGCTTTCAAAATACTTAAGTAGAAGGATATTCAAAATAGTCAGCCATGGTTTTAACATACTAATTTCAATAAATGTTAAAATAAATTTGAAACTCTTTACTTTTTCTGTCTGTAATTCTTATAAAATAATCTGCATGTAAGGATAAATGATAACTTCTTTATTGTGGGAGGAGGAATTAAAAATATCTAGCGGGGAAAAAGACCTTAAATCTTTGGTTTTGATTAACACGCATCAGTGTGCATTCTTAGTGCTACAGTACAGTATGACAGTGCTGGAAACTTCAGGTCCGTTAGAGAATTGTAGATGAGGATGGTGTTAAAAGTAACTATAGAGAGTGCAGCAAAATGAAATTGGTGAGGGGTTTTCTTTGTTTCTTTACCTATAATTCTCAGTGCCTTTCCAGAAAACCGAAAAGTTTTTTGAGAATAAATATTAACTTTAAAGCTTCTGAACTTAAAAGGAATCGTATAGTCCTGCTGTTTTCTTAAAACAACTGTACAAAATATTTTTAACCTGCCAGCCACACCAATATATTATGTTTTTTAATCAGAAAAAATGGACTGTTTTAAGTAGCCTAGTTGTATTGTTAAAAAGAAACAAGAATGTATGAGTTGTCATACTGGAAAAGATGCTCATGTATTACTTTGTGGAATATGGCATTGCCCAGTATTGGCATCCAGAGATTTGGGCCTGTTTTTTCCTTTGAAATTCATCTAGCCATATAAAAGTCCTTTTAGTTCATGTACTCTTATGAATCATTTGAATTATACAATTTTGTAACCTTTAAAACCCTTATATTAAAACAAAAAAGTCACCCTCCTATGAAATGTTTATTGTCTGTTGAAGATATTTTTCCATTGAATGTCCTTGTCTTCTTTCTGTTTAGAAGATTACTCTCTTCAAAGCTTCTATCATACAATTTTCTGGATGTTTTAAAACTATTTTTCCTCCTTTTGAAATGGAGCTCTAATGTTTTAGAAATGCATTTCCACCTGGGCTTTTAAGAAAATGTTTTGTGGCTATTACTTCAGTTAGCTTCTCTTACGATCTTTGACTTCCAGATTTTTTTTATTAACCCCTTGTATCTGTTTGGGAATTACCATCTGGACTTTTTTCCTTATAGAATATAGCTTTCATCACAGATCTGTATTTTGCAAATTTTCTTAAGGGGGGGAAGAAAATCTGCATGCCATTGATAATATCATTCTCTCCTGAAGTTGCTGCTCATCTTTGACTTGCCACTGCTTTGTCTGGTTGGGATGGTTTCTCTCCTACAATTCACTTTTTCATTTATTTAGGCATCTCACTTAAGCAGGAGAGAATTCCTGCCATACACTTAACTTACGCTTTCTACACTCAGTTGTCCTTGTTAAGTAATACCTGATCCTAGAGTCAGTTGCAGTAGTTTTGTAACTGTGAAACATACTCGGACTACTATCCTGTAAACATACAGAAAAATAAGCTTTTTAGTTTATAATACATATTTGTCACTGCAGCCAATTTCATTATAATCAATTATGTTCATGTGTTTATAGAAATAATTTATAAAGTGTACATCTGAATGCTGTATGTGACAATGGAAAATAACTACAGATGGACACTTTGCTTAAGTGCTCTGGGAACAGTGCCAAAGATCTCCTGCACACTGAAAAAGAGGAAAGTCTATTTGATCATCACTTTTAAGGAGCCATCATTTTGGGAATAAAATTCTTGCTGTTTAATTTGGTGCCTTTTGTTGTAACTGTCTTCACCATTAGTGTTGGATTAAGGTAGTTTTTAAAAATGTCTGGTGGTGGTAAAGCAGCTACACATTAACAGATTGATCATATAGTAAAAGGTGGAGGACCAATGTGTTGCAGTGAAATCCTAGTGAGGCTTGCAAATATAGTATTGATAAATTTCCTGCATATCATCTTGAAGTTAAATAGCCCTTGAAAATTAATTGGCATTTAAACAAACTTGTAAACAAGAATTGATAAGACTTTAAGAACTGGAAGAGGAACATAGTTTGAAAACAAAATAGCTCTTCTGAATCATACATGTAGAGTAAAATTGGCTTTCAGCTCCTACATTGCAGAATACTTTCTTCTTTTAATATAGCCATTATCGAATTAGGTACTGTAATGAAATAGCTGTTTACATTTGAAAAATGGAAGCTGTAATAAAAAAGTCGTATTACGTATAAAATTATTTCTGATATTGAAAAAGATAATTCTTCCTACAGACTTAATATTGAGTCACTGAAAGCTCCACATTGACATATCATTTACAAATAAGGTATTCCATACTCTGGCAGTGTAGGAAAGACTATTCCTTCTACAGTTCTCAAGTAGCAGGGATGCATATCAGTGGTGAAGAATTTGGGAACTGTCTAGAAAGCGATCAAGAGAAAGCTAGAACACTTTCAAACCCAGATGCTAATATGTTATCAAGCCTGTTTGGAAAACTTGTTGAATGGGAGAAATACAACAAAAAATATTGTGTAGATAGAGGGCAGTTCATCTGATTGTGTTTTGTTCAGAAAACATCTTTAAGAATATAATACCTGGAACATACCTAAACTTAATTCAGTCCAATTATCACAAAAGTCCAGTAGCATTGGCTTTAACTTGGCTATTGAAAAGACTAGTTATTAACTTCTGGAGATGCCATTTTTGTTTCAGATTGAGCCTCAAGAGATAGCAGAAAACAGCTTTTGGGTAAAAGCTGAAGAAGATAAATTTGAAAACCCAGAACTGTTTGCAAAATTGGCGCTTACCTTTGGAACACAAATGAAAGGTACATTCTTCTTTTACTTTGTATTATGCTTTTATTAAATTTAAAACTGTACAATGACAGTCTCTTTTATGCTTTGTGCAATACCATGGAATTCATATAATGGTTTTATAGCAGGAAGATGATTTAAAAACGTATGTTTTTATTAAGCATAGCAGTCTATTACAAGAATTGCTCCTCCCTCACTTTACAGCATGAGGGGAGGAACCTTTTGTAATAATACCTCTTAAAAGTGCAGGGTATGTTGCAGACAGATGCAAATTTTCTTCAAATTAAATTCTAATCCTAAAATCATGCTCATCTGCATTAATATTCCTAGCTGCAGGAACTGTAAGTTGTCAGATATCCACATGTTGGAGCGTTTGTTGTGTAACAAAAATTTACTTGCTTGTATCACTTGGTTAAATCAAAATGCTCTACAAGAGACTTAGATTTTAGCAATTACAATATGCAGTTGAATCACAAAATCACAACTCTGTAATATTCTAGAATTATAACAGTAGTCATATGTGGGTTGAAACCATCGTTCTTTTCAAAGTTCTTGTGGTTTTGTCCTTAGTCTTTGCTTTCACTTTTTTTTTAATACTGTATGCAGCTCTTATTTAAGAAAAAAGAAAAGTTTTTAAATATGCTCCTTTAGTTAGTATTTAAATTTGTGTTGTGTAATCTAAGAAGCACCCCCCCAAGTTATATACAGTTAAACTGCATTGTTACTGTCATTAGTGAATGATGTAAGTTAGTTTTCAAAGGGTTGAATGGGTAAGTGCACACTCTTTAAACTGTTTGCATAATACCATGGGAAAGTGTCAGGTAGTCTACCAATTTTTGTTGGAACACAGTGTGAAATGGGTCTGCCTGACTACTAGAGAGAGCAATACAGTGAGAATAAAAACTGCTGGAGCTTTCTGTTGAGTGCAACTGAGGCTGCTCAGTATGTCATGTAAAGAGCTCTTCTGCTATTGGTTTTAGATGGAAAAAAATCATTATTTCTCAAACACTTGATTCCTTCAATAGGAGATATGATGATAATATTTATATCTTGAGTTGGGAATGCAGTTACTAACAACTGAATATTGGTAATGATTTTGATACTTTAATACCATCCTCTTCTCTTCATGGCTTTCAAATGGTCTTTGAGTACTTCTGAAGCTGCACACAGCCTCTTCAAGTCTTTTTATTATTATCCACGGTTAATGGTCAATTGATCAGTATTTCATATGTGGCCATTTACTGGTAATTTGTTTCAGGCACTGAAGAGAAGCAAGTACTGTTGAAGTACGGTTCAATAATAACTTACTCAGGAGCTAATGAGGAAGCCCAACAAATTAGAGTTCAGGAAGTGGTAGAAACTGAAAGAATGAATTCCTGGTCTAGCTACAAATCTTTTGTCAATTTATCAGCTAGTTAGAATACAATATACTTTAGGGATGTGCAGTTCTTGAAGGTGGATGGAGTCAGGTGTATCAAGTGTTCATAGGCCAAATCTGAATAAGCAAACACATGCTTAGGATTTTGAAGTGAATGTGTGTACTGACTGTAAGCATTTTTGTGCTGCTGGGTTGTTTTTTTTTTGTTTTTTTTTTTTTACTTTAATGTTTTGGCTTTGAGAATTAACAATTCATGTGATGCTGTTTATTTTAACCATAGGGAGTATTCTGTTTTAATTCAAACCACTAGAATGCTCTCACTTCTATCAATTACTTGAGGATTTTATTACTTCAAAATTAAGTTGTATTGCACATAGAGGTTTGTGGTATCCTGGCTGTTGTCTGAATTTCAGGAAGTAGAACTGCAGTTTATACTAATACAGTGTTTGAAAAGTTAACTCAGGTTAAGGAAGGTCTCTGAGGACCATAACTTTCCTGAAGCATTTCTTGAGTAGATTCCTTGAGTTATTTCTGAATATGTCTTTTTCCGTGCTCTTTTTAAACCCCTTCAAAGAGTTAGTCATAGCTGTGTTTTTCATAAAATAAATATACAGTTCTTTCACTCAGAGCTAATGCTCTTTTCAGTAGTCACTAAATTTGAGCCATTAGTGTTCTGCTTTTACAATGCTTCCCACTGTCTGCTCTAAATGTTCAGATATTACACACAGTAATACAAAAGCATCATCTGCTGTAATTTAACACTTTTTTCCATACCAAAATTTGATAGATTCTTGGTTCATGGCATTGCAGTGAGGTTAAAATGATGTGGAGTTCATCACCGGTTTTAGCGTGACAGCAAGACAGGAAAACCTTTAAGGGAAAGAACCCCTAGCAGCAGATAACACTTAAAATGGAATGAGGCCCTTCTTAATGAAAACAACAAGCTTTTGCCTTGAGCTGAATTCTTTAATCAGAAATCTGAGGAAATGTTTCTGAATTCCTGAAAAGCTTCTTCATTAAAAATGCTGAAAAAACCCTCTTGAAATTTTGACCTAGCTGTCAGTTTCATAGGAGAGGAAATTCTTGTTGACATACTTGCACAGTTCTAAAACTACGAACAACAGAAATTCTCCAAATAGCTTACTGTGGTGATAGCCTTGCAGATATTTTTCCTGTTCCTCCTTATGTTGTTCTCAGTTAATAGTTGTAGAAAATAACATGCCATAACAAAGGCTGGCGAGACTGTTAAAAATGCTACTACATATTACCTAGGATATTAAAATCTGAAAATTTGGCTGACTAGTAGAGAAAGTCAGTGTTGTCTTTCTTTGACTTCAAGTTTTTCTTAAAACTTGAAAACCTACTAGAAGTCAAGAAGAGTCTCAGAGCATTTAGTTGCAGCACAGGCTCAAATAATTGCATTCCACAAAGCAACTTTTTTTTGCAACTGCTATCTGCAAAGGGAAACATTGAATGATATTCACCATTCTTCCTCACCTTTTGCCTTAAGAGCCACAGGCAGCTCATTAATCCCCAAAATACTTATTTCAAGCATAATCTAGGATCAAATTTCTCTTCTGCTTTAGTCCCATTTCTTAGTGTGGTCTCCTAATATATTACAGGAGAATGATAGAAAGACAAATAGAAATGCATTTCATATTCTCTCAAGAGCACAGTCAGCATGTAAAACAAATAAATGGATGAGTGGAAGAAAACTGACAATTGCCAAAAGCAATTGTTGATGACTTAGTGTTTACTATCTTGTATTTCATAGCATTTTGGAATGCCAGTGGGAATAGTAACTGAAGTAAAACAAATGATGGTATAGACAGTTGCTAAAAACTTGTAATTCCATAGAGGTTGCAGCACTCAAATTTGATTCAATCTCTGAATTCTATTCATGATTCTCTGGCACAATGAGAATGAAACTTTGGGGTTTTTCCTCACTTAACATAGTTTTGTTTTAAGATACTCCAAGAATAACTTAATGTTGGTTGTCACTAAACTATGTGCTGCCTTGCTATCGTGAGTACTGCCTGTTTCAAGGAAGGCAGCCAAAGCTGCAGGGAAGTGGTACTTTTGGAGCCCAAAAGTGGAGGGGGGGTCATGAATAAGACACTTCTGAAGCACAATTTTTATTAGTTAATGAGTTACTGCATTCATCAGTTAGCTGCTTGTAAAACATAAGAATGTTTAATCACAGAGCACCAGGAACAAAAAGGAATGATCCCTGACTGGTAAAATAATTCTGCTTCAAATATACTTAGATACAAATTTTCTTTTAAAAAGTATGCATAAGGTTAAACCTTTACTTGCTACTGTAAAATTAGATATTTAATACTGGTGCCCCATGAATATCTAGAATGTATTTAGTTAGGTTCAAATCAGTACTAATAGTCGAACTGCACTATTTGGTCTGTGAAATCAGTTACTGAGCACAGTTATGAAAACATCTCTTGTACAGGGAGCAATGGAAACATTAAAAGTATTCCCTTTCAGACTTTACAGGATTTTGAGATCTTGGGGTTTAAACTAAGTTAACTGAGATCTAATTATCATTGTCTCAGTACAGTCTAGAAGGGTTTTCTCCATTTTTCTTCAAGAGAAATACAGATGATCCGAATACCTTTTAAGGGCCTCTGACAAATGGACTCTGAGGCTTCAAATTTTCATTAAAGATCTTTGAGTGTTTTTGGCTTGGAACTGTGCTTCCAAGATGCAGAGATGGAAACAATGATTATATCTCACAGACCATTTTGGCAAGTAAATGATATTCCAGATCAGGCACACTTGAAAATGAATGGGCAACTGTGGTGGTTGTTAATGAGTTGGGCGGTATTAAGATGTGGGACAGTTACTGCATTGTGAGTGGCAATGAAACACGTAGATGCATGTTTCCTTGTGTAGCTGCATGGAGGAAAAGAGTAAAGATGGTATTAGTTTCCAATCAGTTACTTGTTTTCTCTTGATCTCGTTAATTCTAAGAGAGAATCTGATATCGTCCAGAATTTTATTTTGTGAATCATGCGTTGCTTTAAAGTGAAAGCAGTGATTTTTGCTGGTGAAAATATGCATCATCCTTTTACAGTTTTTTGAGTCACGACTTGAAAATTTCAGGCTCAGTAATATTTGGTTTGCAAAATAATCTTATCATGGATTGATTTGTGTTTTGATATTTAAATAGCAAGAGGAAGGATTTCTATTGAGGTATTGTTAGCTCAACCTTATCTTCTTATTTTTAAAACAGTTAAATCTTACCTGCAAGCAACAGTCTCTTCAGACAAGTTTTTTTAACGAGTAGAATAACCTTTATATAGTGAGATTTTTTTTTCCTTTTTAAAACTTGTGTGATCAATTTTAAGCTTTTTGTTATTAAAAAAAAATTTTTTTAATTAAAAAAAAAAAAAAAAAAGCCTTTCCAGTTTATGGAGTATAAAGAAAATGTGAAATAAACTCAATGAACAATCCTCCTTAGCTGGATTACATAGTATGAACCCTGGAGTATTTCTTAATAACTGAAGAGAGGAGATCCAAGTGATCAGATAAATGCACCTTGTCCTTGTGAGTCTATTATGTGCTCTTAAGTCATTAATTTCTGTAAATACACAGTGAAATGATGAGGTGTGTTATCAACTA